CCCTCTTCGGCTCCTACCCCAGTTCTGGGACACCCTGTATTAGGCAGCAATGAACGTTGTCCGTTGACATGAAAAGTATTACTTTCGTCCTGGTATCCAGGACGAAAGTAACACTACGAATAGAGACATAAGGAATTAGATACCAATGCAATACATGTTATACAAAGTTTTATTTCTATTGCAACAATCAATATAGCCTCTGAATAAATTATACATATAATATTATAGGAACTTTGTTAATTTGTTATCAAAACTTATTCCAAAGACAAGTTTTAACTTCTAACAGCTTACATAAAACACGGTTATAAAGTCGACAAACAACTTATGAAATACAATTATGGCACAAATAAGTCTGCTCACCTTCAGTACAGTCTTCATGAGACCAACCCTTACATTTCATGCACTAAAACGTGTTACTTTCGTCCCCCAGACAATGTGTTACTTTCGCCCCCCAGACAACGTGTTACTTTTGTCCCCAACCACGTTTTTTTGAGTTTGAAAATTAATAATTTGGAAAGTATATCGACAGTATCTAAATCAAAGGTCTGGTTAGCTTAATGCACTATTTAAGAATACATAGACACCTGTTTGCCTCAGAATCTCGGCATTGCCTATCGTTTATTACAAACAACTTGAAAGGAGAAAAACTTACTTGGTGGCTATCAAATCACAAAGATTGGGTTAACAAAAGCAGTTCAGGCGGTAACCCGGCGTCAACTGACTATAAAGGGAGGGGGTATGACTGTGCCTCCCACTATAGTGATGTGAGGGGGGGGGTGTTACTTTCATAACGTGTTACTTTTGTCCCCGCTCTTCCCTACTTACTTAAGCCTGGGGTCTTGGCAATTCAATGTTCTTTCAATTCGAGGATCACTTTTAAATTCCGTCTGTCGACCTCTATGTAAATTAAAGTTCTCAACGAGTTCTAATAAATGCAAATTGTAGTATGGGAATTTGGGACGGTAGCTATCTTGAGAGGAAAGAGGGTGTCATGTAAAATTTATCTTTCGACAATTTAACTATTACATTCTATTATCTATTTTACTAGATACACGATGAACCGGTTTCGAACACTTCTCACCTTGATACAGTTCCTTTTATCTTAACCTGTTAACCGGGTATGACGAGTTAACTCGTCATTCGTCTGATCAACTTGCAGTAGATAATAATTTTTCTAAAGATCTTCGGTTTTAAATGTGTTGGTGTATGTAAATGTATTTGCATCTATTTTGAGCAAAACAAAAAATTATTCGATTAATACGTAATACAGTGTCCCATGCAATTAGCATACAATCAGGTGTTGTTCCATTCGACTTCATTTAATTTTTACTACACTACTTTAGAGCTATATTTTAGCTCAATTGTGTGGGGCACCCTGTATAAATAATAACTATTACAGAGTGTCGGATTAAGGGAAGGTCTAGGAACGGGCTGTAGTTCCCAGCTCTACTTTGCAGGGGCCCCCTTACAAGTTTTCCATTTGTTATAGAGGAGACTGCTTCTTTTGCACCTTCTCTGGATCCGTCACTGTCACAATGTCGTCGTAGCAATCATTAACTCTGTCTGTGGAGATTATTACAAACCCTCTTTCAATATACAGTCTTGATCCGTAATAAGCAACAGTTTTCCGGCTCGAAATAAGCAAATCTCTATCCCCACCTTTTCATTTCAAGTCGCCCGCAAAGTGAGAGGTCCGAAAAATGAGTGAGAGGTCAGTGAAAGCGAGAAGCCGATATTTTGGGTAATAAATTGTCACGCTTGACTGAGCAGTGACAGTGGTTAATAGAAAAAGGATGAAATATATATAATGGTTTCTCAGTCTGGTATATTTGCCTCGAAATAAGCGAAATAGTGCGAGAATGAGAGAGCATGCTATATTCTATTCTTGTTTAAAAAATAACATTGCTGCTCGGCCGATCACTTTATGATTTACCGCTACCTCGAATCTCTCACTCGTTTCTCGTGTTCTCTATCGTCCCGTTTCGAGAACAAAGTCATGCCGAATAGCATACCTGCTCCGTAATAAGCAACTGGCCAGACCCGAACGTGTTGCTTATTTCGAGGTAAAACTGTACATATGCATATATCATACGATTGTGTTAAAAGTGGACATAATGATATTTAAAAAATTTTAAATATTTATTTTTCAATATTAGAAGATATTTAATGAAAAACATAAACTATGGATTTAATTTTACACATTTTAAAATCAATTTTATTTATTTAATTGCTAATTACAATTCAAAGTAAAGCCTGAAATTTTTCCTAAAAACTTCGACGCTACACGAACGAATTAAAATATCCTTTTTACGAAATATTAATTATGAATTATGCACGACACGATAGTGCTTGTAATTTATTAGTGACAATTAAAAGTTCGACTGAAAGAGGAAACATGACAGATATTATAAATGATCATCGTCACGTATAAACAAACGATGGTGTAAATTTCCCAACAAGTGAGAAAAAAAAGAAATATCATAATTCTAATATATGAAGACTTTATTACTGACCTTGGAGGTTCATCGTCACCGCAGTGAAAGAACCGACAAGGTCCTTAGGAAATACCGAGTATCGCTGATAGAGGTTAGGTCCACTGGGATTTGCATGTGAATAAAAGTGCGAAAGAGGATATTAATTTTGAACGGTGTGAAAGATTGTCTAGAACGACGTACAAATAATACATACTTTGATTCTTCAATAAGCAATGCCAACCACTGATATTTTTAATATAACTATACTTCCGTGTATGCAAACAATTCTGATCTTTTATTTCAATCAAATCCTTTAGGCTGTTTACGAACTGGTATCACATGCAATTAATTTGGTGTAGCGAATAAATGAACAAATAAAACCTTGTATAGGAGTTTTTATCATACTATAGCATATAAAATAAAAGGAGAGTAATTTAACATTAAAAAATTATAAAATACATAAGAGAAGTATATAGTTTTGTTTTTATTTTAATAAATAAATTAAAATAAATAGAAGAAAAGAAATTGTAAATATAAAAATATTGAGAATATTCTAAAAATAATAATTGAGAATGTTGTGAGAATATGATAATTTTCGTATGTAAATAGAGAATATTTGATAAAGTATTAACTTCTTTTTTAAGTAGTATAAGTCTGTTTTTCATTATTTCAGAATATTTAATATTTAAGTTTGTTTCTTGCTTTTAAGATGCTAAATATATATAATTTTATCATGTGATCATTTTTATAAATATTTCCTAAATAAAACAGTATTGCATATGGACTTATATGACTATTAAAGCTAAAAAATTGTGAAAATATGATAGATAGCAAAGTTTGAATTTATAAAAGATTTTCCTAAAATGTAGTTCTAAAATAATGATAGGAACAATAAAGATATGTATTATTCACTATAAAAAGACGTTCATATGATTTAATAAAAAAGCAGTTTAAACAAAATAAGGGTACTGCCATAAAGATAGATAATATTGATAATTTTTTTAGGCTACCTACTTTTTGCATTAAAGAACAAAAATAAATTTAAATGAACAGTTTTTTTAATTTATAGTATATTCAATTATAATATCTTATATACCTTTTTAAGATAGGGTGAAGATTAAAATACGTCATCGCTACTTAAAAAGATTTATTTATTTATTTATCTAAATTTTTCTCGTTCATGAGGATATTTTATTAAAAATAAAATTATTATAAATATATAAGAAACATCTGTAGCTGAAACTATACGTAGCTTTACCTCATCCTTTTTATTTTTAATTAGACTTATGTCATTTTCAAAATAAACGATTTTTGTAAAATAACGTGTATCGTCAATGTTCGTTTTATTATATTATTTTTAAAATTTATTATTCCAATTGAAGTATGCGTAAATCAGTAGATCAAAGGCTTATTTGTAACATCCACGATGTCACTTTCATGATATAATTCCGAATGTCATTTCATACAATATTTATTCTATTTTTATTCGATCTTATGAATGAATCCGTTGAATGTAGGAAATAAATTCAATTATTCATTTCCATATAACGTTTCAACTAATATGTTAGTTCTCTTTAGGTAGTTCTATAATATTAATAATTAGTAGATTACATTATTGCATTGGATAAACTATTATGTTTGTATGTGAGTCTTTTCAATAATATAATATAAAGGAAAGAGTTGTCATATAACATACAATGATCATGGTAACTACAAAATTAAAATGACTTCACAGTTAACAAATGTATCGGAAATTTAATTTTAATTAACATAAATACTGTACATTAAGTGGAAATTTTTTTTATGTTATAATGTTAAAAAACACACCTGCGGACGTAATACTTCATTCGACGTAATAATATAATTCAATAATTAACAAGTGCCATCAAAGTCTGAAAAGGACCAGCATGTATGGTTCTGTGAAAATGAATAATTTAATTTACATATATAATAAAAATTAAATAATTACTAAATGTATTAGTAACCTCTAAAATTCAAAATTATTGAGATTAGTTAAGTTTGTAGGGATTAGAGATAAAGCTGTATTAGACTATAAACTTAAAAAAATAAAAACATAAAAAACTAACCACAGTACTCACAGAAGCTTACGCATCATGAATAATGCTCTTTTAATCACTTTGTCTATAACAGATACAACATATCGAACTACAATTCTTTTCTCGTCGCTGAAAAGGAAAATACGTACATAATTATTTACTAAAGTACTAAATAATCATTAATCACATCGTTCTATGTTATTATTTAATAAGAATCTTTTTACCCGTTATTCAATGTCGGTGATGTCTGAATTTCTATGAAAACACTCGTATTAGATACTTGAAATTATTAAAAAAGTAAATAAGATTTATTGTTAACCCTTGAACAGGATCCTGGGAGCATCGTGACCCAACCTTATACAATATATGCAAGGATATTAATCTAAAGTTAAATGTATAATTTTTAAACGAAAGAGTTTCATGTATTGGAACAATAATTTTTAAAGGAGCAACGTAAAATTTAAAAAATGATAATAATATGAAGTACAAAATTATATACAAATTAGAACTCTCTCCATGGTCCGCCGTCCGAGGGTTAAAAATAAAAATACTGAATTGACGTAGAAATCCATCACCCCTATTATTTGAAATCCTTAATTAATTTTAATTAGAAATAATCATATTCGAAATTTTGCAATGATGGATAACAAATATCATGAAATATAAAAATAAAGGTATGTACTATCTAATGGAACCTTCAAGAGCTTCAGTACGACAATCCACACGTGAAACTTTTCTATGCCATAAAGAATATTCGAAAGGACTCTCGATTATGAATCAATGAACGTCATTTATTACCATCATTCAAACATTCTCTCTATTCGATGACCGTCCAGCAATACGTGACAATTGTCCAGCGTATCGTGGGAGCCTTCGAGGAATCGAACTGGCAAATCTCGACTTCCTGTTACCCAAAGTCCACGGTTATCAGTGACCGTCCCCGATCGCTTCCGCATCGAGCGGAAACATCGAGCGGGTGGGGTTCTTCAGGTGTGTATAAAGCCAGGAAGAACTGGCTGATTTTCGTCAGTGGAATCGCTTCGGACCCTAGCGTGAATTTCCTTTTCTTTCCTGAAAATCTATCCACCATGAACAGTCTGATCATTCCCTCGTTTGCATTCGTCTTTTTGTTATCTTCAACGTCTGCATGGCCGTTTCGTCGAAGAGACGTGTTAGACAATTCGGTGAATAGTCCTGACGGTGTGATCGCTCATCTTCAGCATTTTGGACCGATGCTTTATCGGTTTCCCGATAACGAAACTGGGACGATCGTAGCGAGCTGGCACGAGGGCTGGGACAGAAATCCGGAGGAATTGGGAAACTATGCGGAGGGTGATATCCTTTTTCCGCCGCAGCTCGAAAAAAATGGCCTGAAAGCGGAGTCCGCTAGATGGCCTGGCGGTGTTGTGCCTTATATGATTAGTCCTTATTTCGGTAAGTGATTTTTATATGCTCACTTTTATTGATATTGTTTGTCCTAAAAAAACCAAGTCTTATATGTAACAATTCATTTTTAATGGTTTCTTCTTTTAATAACATGTTTATCAAATTAAAATCACTTCTTTAATATTAATCTTAAAGGCATAAGTGAAAATACATAATTTTTTGAAAACTCTTAGATGAGAAAAGTAATACATTTTTATTATTTTCTAATTGGTAAACTCGTTAAGCTCTTCCTTGGTTTTTCTACGGTTTTGTGTCAAATATTGATGAACAATCAACGGCTCAGAAAAAGAATAGTATTAGTATTATGCTGTTTTGCTAAGGCTAATTGATGTACCTGCAATTTTTACAAATTTCGTGTTGTAAGCAATTCAGATACTAAATTGTATTTTTTAATTTATCTCTAAAGCAGAAAGCTGTATCTATTGTGTACATTCATATAATTGCGTACAAAAGTTTTATGGATCTGTGTTGGTTAGTTGCTGTGATTAGGCAAATGAAAGTATCTTACATATTCGTACGTGAGTCAATCCGTGTCGATCTATGCCGATCCGTGCCGATCAGTTAGGTTACGAGGGCAGTATATGTAACAATATTATAAGGTAGAAAATTTAAAGTTAAAATTTGAAACTGTATATCATCAATAATTGGAGATTAAATGCTTCTTACTATATGTCCATTTTTATTGTGACGATCTACGTACAATATCAATAGTACATATATTTCCAACTTTAACGGTAATGTTAATAATAAATTGGCGGCTTTAATAGCGGGTGTTCAATTATTTTCTTTGACAAATTTTGAAGCAACTTAACCACTATAGAACTTCAAATCAGTTTGATAGTTTCAGAAATATTATTGATTTTTGAAAATGAAGAGTATTCTTTTTTTTTATTTATATATTAAGTGTATAAATTAATTTGATGCCTTTAGTATTTCGCCTTTTTTATTACTATGTCAAATTTGAATATTTCCCCGCGCTTCTGTGTATTTGAAAAGTGACGCAAGGATATGACAACGATAATAATTACTGCAATAATTGGAAAAACCATGACTTTTTACGAATAAATTTTCAATTAAAAAAAAATATATGGTATAGAATTAATTTGTACATGAAATACTTTACTTATACGACGAACGATCAAAGACAATGTGCGATTCTTCATGATCGAATGGAATTACAGATACCCAACAGCGAAATTTGATTTTCGACGCCATGAATGACTACCACAAATATACTTGCATCAAGTTCAAACCCTATACTGGCGAGGAGAACGATTATATTAGAATCACTGCTGGAAATAGCGGCTGCTGGAGCAGCGTAGGAAGAATCGGTGGACAGCAGGACGTAAATCTTCAAGTTCCAGGCTGTATGGTGAAAAAGGGTACAGTGATACACGAATTGATGCATGCAATAGGGTTTTTGCACGAGCAGAGTAGATTCGAGAGGGACGAATACGTGACGATCCAGTGGCAAAATATTTTGAATGGTAAGTACACTTGATAGAGTTTTTTAAATATAGTATTAGTTGAAAATTTAAGATCATTTTTGATTATTTTAATAATTATGTTTTCATCTTGAAGATATGCGTATGACATATTTTTTTATACCTATCTATAACTTTTGAAATTTTACATTCTTTTTTTTTATTAATAGAAGGATATTAATAAAATTATTATTAATTACTAATTACTAATTTAATTATTAATTTTCAAATTGTAATTAGCATCTGATAGATTAAATAAACATAAAGTAAAGAATAATGGCGTAAAAAGCTAAAAATTAAAGTGCCAATTAATACTAATTAACCATAAATAATGATAACATTACTTTCGCAATCTTACGTCTTTTTCTACGACTAATAGAAGTGTATTTGTACAATTGTATTTGAGAGGTCCATTTAAAGTTTATTGCAAAATTACTAAATTTCAATCAATATCTGATAAAATGAATGAAAGTAGGCTTAAGAGAAATACTTTAAATATTTAAACATCATAATCCTGAATACGTAACAGAGGTCAAAGTGTTAATATTAATATTAACAAAGTGCAAGTACCAATAATATTATTAATTATATTTTTATCATGGTTCGCCGTTCGAGGGTTAAAGATGTCAGTCACTTGTGATCCTCATCTATGTCCTAGATTATTCTATGTTCTCATTTCATATATTTCTTTTTTTTCTATTTAGGACATACTGGAAATTTTGAAAAAGCCTCAAAACAGACCACTGACGCGTTCGGTGTTGGCTATGATTATGGCAGCGTGATGCATTATTCCGCAAACGCGTTTTCCAAGAACGGTCAACCCACCATAATGCCAAAAGTAAGTAAATATGTAATATATCAAGTTAATATTATCAAGGTCTATGTCCTTTCACGTGATGATTTTTATAGATGGTTTTGCAATTTAAAAAGATCTCGTAAATTTCAAGAATTATTAATGAGCATGTGACGCGATCAGTATCATGTTACCTACTGTTATTCTTTTCACCATTTAAAAGGAAATTTACCTTCGAAATCATGTTTTTAATGAGCTAACATTTTTATGAAAACAACTCATTGATTTTCTTCAAGTTTATTAGAATATACAGGGTGTGTTATAATATGTAGTCATAACTTCAGTAGTTAATTTAATAGGTACATACAAAATAAAATTTATACAATCATTTGTCTTTCCTGAACTTGCTTACGAATTATAACAGTTCCAGTCTTATATTATTTTTTTATGACAAAAAAAGAATGGAAAGAATGGGAAACAATTCTTCTAAAAACTTGGCTATTATTATTAGTGTAACTAGGCAGGGGCGAGAGTGGGTTTGGCAATCTCAACATTCTAAGATTCTAAGGTTTTAAAATTATTTGATTTTCTTTTAAACTTTTGTAAAACGCAAGATGTCAAACATTTGACATTGTTAATAAAGTTAAAGGATCTGGCCCAGTCCAGAAAAATTTTCACATTCTGGAATGTAGGAATTCTGAAATTTTGAAATTTTGGAATTGTGAAATTTTATAATTTTATAATTATGGAATGATGAGTGAGCCAGTTCACATTTTTGGAAGCCCACACCTAATCTGCCCTGTACCTAATTACGTCAGTAATCAGATCAATTCATAAATTCGTTCGCAGTTAATAGATTAAGGAACATTATAAAATTCAATAAATACACATTTATTCAAACAATTGTATATTAATAATGTTTTGCTATTTGGTAAATAATTCTAGTTTTGTAATGGGATCTGCATGTAACCCTTGAAGGGTTAAATCATGACCCAAATTTAAAAAATAAATACAAGGATATGAACTTAAAGTTAGTTCTCTCCATAGCTCTCTCCATGATCCGCCGTTCAAGGGTTAAGAATCAATAAATAAGATATGCTCGAATTTATGGACTGACCTGATAAAACCAAAGTGGGTCACTTGACAGTACAATACTTATAGTAAAGGATATGTTATGAGATTGCGTTCTACACCCACGTTAGCATGTTCAATGGTTGTCCGTAGGAAACTGGCGGCCTTCTAAGTTTTATTGGCGAAATATTCCAGGGTCCGAACAAAGGTCAGCTGGGACAAAGAGAAGGCTTCAGCAAAAGGGATATTCAAAAGATCCGGAAGATGTACAAATGTGGCAAACGTAGAAGAAACAGTTACTGATTTTTGGAAAGTCGAACGATTACTTGATGGAAACTTTGACGTCTTTTAGCTTCTACAGGAAAGATGAAAGTGGAGAATCTAGTCCTTTATAATTAAGCTTTACCTCGTCTTTAAACTCTGTATTCATGAAAGTGGTACGAATTTAGAAACGGTCATGGCAAATCAATATCGACAAGGAGAGGAATGTAAATTTAGAGAAACGTGGGTGCTTGTAACATTGGTGAATGTATATAAATAATTGTATTATTAAATATTACTTGTATTTAATGGTTTAATATTGTAATAAATGCATACCATGAAATTCCATTGCATACCATTATTTACATATGTCCATAGATTTACCTACTTGAAATTTGGAAGAAATGTTTAGTAGATGTTATTCTTCCCATTGATGTAAGTGGGCCTGGTCCCCCTAAAAGTCTGTACCGACATCTCCCCAGAAGTGTGGATTTTTAATACTTACAAATTTTTAGATTCAAAAATTCCAGAACTTATAGACTTCAAAATTCCAAAATTTTAGATTTTCTACATATAAGAATTTCAAAATTACAAATCTCCAAAATTTCAAAATTATAGATCTTCCAAAATTTAACGATTCCAAAATTCCAAATTTCTAAAATTAAAAAATTTCAAAACATCGGAACACTAAAATTTCAAAATTTCAGATTTCCAAAATTCCAGGTCCTACAAATTTTATAAGAGACCTGTCCCACTCCAGAAGAAATCCAATCACTTTTGTCCAAATTAAGATTTTTTTCGGTACATATATGTAAAATTCAAAAATTGCTAATTAAACACTCGATCAGTTTTCATGCAAAAAATTAAACTTTTTCTAAGCAACTCTACCATTTCTTTCTTTCTCAATATTTTTAAATCATCTTAGTTCGTAGGTATAGCTTTCCTCATATAGATTAAGAAACTTTATGATTTTTCTATTTCAGACAATTGCAACGACTAGTTTCATAGAAACTATGGGTAAGAAATTATTTTATAGTCTTTTTAGTAGAATTGCTTCAGTAAAGCAATATTGTAATACGTCAAAAGCACCATGTACATCTACACGTTATTTTCGATCACACTCTTCTTTCCGATCGTTACAATGGAGAGGCTCCTTACATGAAAACAATTTTGTTTTCTTTTTTGTTTATTAATTTCTGTCCATGTTATCAGATTAAAGTTAATATATTAATAATAAACATTAATTTGCTGTTCTAAATTCCTGATGCAATGTTAACCCTCGGATGACGGGCCACGGAGAGCTCTATTTTTTATTTAATTCTACATTTCATATCATTTTTTAACCGACTTCGGAGAAAGAGGAGATTACTCAATTCGATCATTATTTTTTCTTTTTGTTTTTGTTTTATTATGTTCGCCGATTACTCCAAGATGAATGGACCAATCGCAACGAAATCTTTTGCATCTTGCAGAGTATGTCTCCCGATTGGTTCCGTTAAAAATCATTTGGTTTACGGACCGTTTATCGAATATCAATTCATCGAATGATAATTCACCGAAGACAATTCACCGTATTCAGAAGTATTGAGAATCAGAAGTGTTAATTGTGAAGAGATGGAAAATACAAGAAATAGAAGCAAACATTACACTCCAGTGGAGAAAATCTTTTTTTTAGAGATTTAAAAAAAATATAATCATATAGTAGAATGTAAAAAAAGTAATGTGATAAATTTAAAAGATAAAGAAATTGCGCGGAGAAGAATTTGTATAGAATTTAATGACTCCTCGTTAATAACGCAAGAAGTAAGTAAAACTTGAAACGTCCACCTTTGTGCTGTTCTTTCAATACTTTGTTACTAATGCTCTTCTGCTTTGTAGAGAAATGTACAATAATTAAAAAAATATTGGTCGAACCTAAAGCACGGACAGAGGGAGATTTTAACGAAGGAAAAGCAAGCCCGTTTTGCGACGTGCGTAGGTGTGGGCGATCTTTTAATGGGGAGCACAAGTAAAAATGTGTATCACTTTTGAATTAAACTTTATTCTATTCTCTGCTTCACGTGTGGTTCTGTTCTCTCTAACTACTTCTCTAGGTGACTAACGACTAAATTTTGCACGTGGTCTAGAAACTTTTATTTTGTAGATGGCGCTTCGTATGCTCGTAAGTGCCCGAAGCCTAATAGCCACCGCTTCGACGGCATTTTCGTCAGGTATGAGTGATAGAGAAATAGAAGGTAATTCTACTTATCTGAAGTAGAAAAGGTAATGGAATTGTTTTATTTACTTTTTACTAAATTTTATTTAAAGGAGAAATGTTCGAGGTAACCGAAGAAGAAATTTCATTGGAAATAAATGAGTTAACCTCTATATCAGAATGTATAACAAATAAACAGAGAGAAATCAGGACATCAGAGAAAGATCTGAAAGTTTTTAGATTGTAGAAACTAATTGAGCATGAAGAGAGGATAGCACTTATTAGGAAGCAACATTTGCGGGAGATTAATAAAATAGAAATAGAAACAGCAAAAGTTAAATTAGAATTGGCGAAATTGTTATTAGAAAAAGAAAGAAACAGTAAAGTGTAACAATAAAAAATAAAATAAAAATAATAAAACTGTAATTAATTTATTATATATTTTTACATTTATTAGTATGTATTCAACGGAATAATCGCTGAATAAGTGCTTGTCTTACAGCAAATCCTTCACCAGGCTGCCAATCCGGCGGCATTATTGAAATTTCGTCATCGATTGACAGCATCGTCTTCATCCTCCGAAAGGTTGTCCTGCATTATTAGTGCAAGATTGTGTAATACCGCGCATGCTACCACAATCGTTGTGGAGCACAACAATTTTGTGGACAATCCTCTTGATAAGCAGGGAAATCTGCGTTTCCATACGCTGTATGTACGTTCGACAATTAGTCTGGTTCTTTCCTGAATAGCATTGTATTGTGTTTCCTCCTCTGTCTCAGGATTTCCAATCGGCGCTAATAAAAATAGTAGGCTCGGATAACCCGGATCGCCAATCAGTTTTCCTGATAGTTTGCCCTTCATATACAGCATATATATCTTAGAATTTTGAAAAATCCGGCTATCACGTTGACTGCCAGGATACTCCGGTACAATATCAAGAAACTCCATCCTCGGGCCAACAACAGTTTGCACATTTAAAGAAAAGTAGCCTTTTCTGTTTCTATATACAGTATAGACTCGTTATAAGCTAAAAAGTTCTGTACGATATTTGCAAAGAAACCATCCCCACCACTGGGGGGTATACCCCTCGAGACGTCGCGAAGCTCGCTCGCCGAGTAGCGTAACATGATCTTGGATCAGATATCGGTGAGGCAACACTAATGCAACAACCTAACTTTGCTATTTTTCAGTTTTTTTTTATAGACCTTTTTCCATGATATTTCTGACATTTTTCTAATTAAAATGATACCAAACACGATATAATTCGGACCATATTTACCATGTAAACTAGTTACAACCAAACGCACGGGACCGGACTTTTGCCTATAACGTGTAGTTCCACTATTGTTTGATGTTAGCCGACTGCTTCGAACGTAGAAAAGGACCTTGAGTGCAAAAGAGGACGGAGCGAAAACAAACCGTTCTATGTCGAAGCAGTCGGCAAATATCAAACAATGGTGGAACTACACGTTATAAGCAAAAGTCCGATCCCGAGCGTTTTGCTTATAACGAGTCTATACTGTACTTCGATTAGCCCATTAAATCGTGTATGTACTAGACGTGTATGTGTACAATCAATTGCGTCCTCAATTCCGGATAACCCAATAGCTCCGTTACCATATCCTAACATTTTGAACAATTGATTATTTTCGTTCCGTCTTTCATCTGTAGTGGGCATTTTTATGTATTCATTGATACAGCTAGCCAACAGGAATGATACACGAAAAATAATTCGAGATACTGTTGCCGGTGACAATCCTAGCGTATCATCAACAAGCATCTGCAATTTTACATACACTAAACCAGATTATGCATCAGATTATACTAACCTGATATGTAACTTGCACTTGCATAAAACCTTAGGCAGACTAATAATTGTATAGCTGCAGCAATGGGTAACCCACAATTATTATGTTTCATCAGGTACCGTTCAATTTTGGGTAATATACTGTGTAAAACAGATGTTTTAGAGAATCTGAACCGTCTCTTGAATTCCGATTCCTCATAAAATTCAAACGAATTATTTGCATCGCGAATATACTGTTTTGGTCAACTTTCAAAATCAACATCTTCTATATCAACATATCCATTTATTTTATTCTGACGATCAGGGTACATACATGTAGCTAATCCACAATGGGTATGTTGATTCCCGTTGAATATTGGTTATTTGAAATTATCAAATGGGTCATTTGTCATAGGTCGCCGAAGCGACGCCTGAACTAGAATCTTCCTAGTAGAAAAAAGGTTTTTAATTTTCCCCCTCCTCCGAAAAGGTTGAAATGTATTTAGTATTGTAGGCAATAAAGTATATTGTTGGTACTGGCGGCCAGATGTTCGACAGCCGAGCCGACCGGGACGGCGACCAGGATTTTGACTCGGATATGATGTCGGCTATTTTTTTCACAAAACAAGAAAACTAAGTTTCAGCCACAATAGGGCATTTTGATTTTGACTGACCAAGGGTCCGAAATAGCCGCACCATAAACCTGGTCTCCGTGGCGAAGTGCATGGGTCAACGGGCCTAGCAAATTTCCCCTCAAGCGCCGAGATTGGGAGGGAGATGTCACGGGCCGTAGGAATTCCTTGGGAACACCTAATTGGCGGAGGCGAGAAACGCCTATTATCGGTCGACTTTAAAACCGGGAACGCGAACGGAAAATGTATGTATTTCGATTAAGATTCTAAGAGAGCTAGATCGAGAACGATCAGCGAAGGAGTATTAAAAATTACAATAACTGTGTACTCAGTGATTTCTTCCGTTACCTCCGAATCCCTCATTCGCTCGTACCATCCCTACAGTATACTATTTAACGATTATATAGGGTTTATTAATAGCTGTGGAGTATTGGTATAAATGAAATAGAAATTATTTTTTACCTCTTAGCTCATTTTGTTAATGCAGCAAGAGGTTTTATTAATAATTGTCGTAGTTGTATAAACAAAATATAAATTATTTTACACTTTCTAGAGCATCTCGAAGTCGGTTGTATTTTTTGTTCTAAATTTTTTTCATTTTCTAAAGATTCAATTGATTTAAAAATTATTCGGTAATTATTTAGAAGTTTGCCCTCCTCAGCTATATATCCCACGTAATGAGACGTACGAGTTCCATAACGAGGAATATTAGCTCTCGTATCACGTCATGTACGCTGTAAACCTAAACCTAACCTAAACCTAACCTAACCCTAACCTCAAACCACTTCAGTCACTCTTCCAATCACGATTCAGTCTCCATTTTTCCCGGAATACAGTGTATTGGTGACATAAGTATAACTGCAGTTTTTTACGAATATCTCGGAAACTAAGGCCGAGCGGAGGTAACATGTATGTATAGAGAAAAGTTGTTCAGAATGATGACCTTGACAACATATTTCGAGGTCATGAAAATCGGTGAGGAGGGCAAACTTCTAAATAATTACCAATTATTCTTCTAATATATGACATCTTTTTATTTAAAGATTATACATGTTAATTTTAGATTAATAGCCTTGTGTATGTTTTATAATTTTTGATCTCAATTGACCCAGGCTCCTCTGTTCAAGAGTTAATGAAACTCAGAATCATTTTTTATCCTTCTTTTGTTAATTATTCAATTTAATTTTAATTAAACTCATAATATTGGATAGCAGCTTGACAAGCAACGTGTTAATAAAGTAACAATTCGATTTATTTTGAAATAAAAGAAAGAAAAACGACAAGTAAAAAGTGTACAAATAAAATGTCACTTACGTGTCATTCGTATAAAAGTTTTGTACAGTAAAAGCTGGATATATGCAACAAACATTGGGACCCAGGCGTTGCATATATCCAGTCGAGGTGTCGAATCTCGGGTTACACGCGACGAGCAGCCAAGCGTGAACGTAGAAAAGGACAGACAGTGGCAGAAAGAGAGAGGTCCGATGATCAAAGGAAAGAGCCGAAACGTATCGGTGTGACTAATACTAATTCAACTATAAAACTTTTTTATTTTTGACTTTTTTTTAATGAAACTTGTACTAGCGCATTGGTGAGATTTTTGTGATTAAAGTGGTACCAAACACGATATAGTTTCAATTATAATTACTTGCTAAAATTGATGTTAAAAGTTGGCGAAAAGCAAAGGAGGATTGGAAATGAAAACCGGTTGCGGTGTCGGCTCGGGTTTCAAACGTTGCATATATCCAGCCGAGGTGTCGATTCTGGGCATTTAAACGTTGCATATATCCAGCCGAGGTGTCGATTCTGGGCATTTAATGTTGCATATATCCAGCCGAGGTATCGATTCTGGGCATTTAAACGTTGCATATATCCAGTCTTGGTATCGATTCTGTGTCCGAACAAATCGTTTGTACCGTGCCGCGTTACCTATTCTACGTTCGTACAAATCGTTTGTACCGTGCCGCAATACCTATTCTACGTTCGTACACAACATGCGATGTGTTGCATGTTGCATGTTGCGTGTTTGATGTATCTTTGGTGTACGGCCTGCCTTATATATATGTACAGTTTTATTATTATTTTAATAAATAAATATAATTCAAATCATATCGTGTTTGGTACCATTTCAATCAGAAAAATCTCACAAATGCGTTAGTAAAAGTTTCATTAAGAAAAAGTTAAAAATAAAAAAGTTTTATCGTTCAATTAGTATTAGTCACACCGATATTACGGTCGGATCATATTACACGATTTCCTCGCCGAGCGGCTCGGTTCGGCTTAGGGGGATCCCCCCAAGTGGAGGGGATAGCGATGTTGCATATATCCAGCCAAACTTTTGTTGCATATATCCAGCTTTTACTGTAATCGTCCCGATGGTCTCCTGACTTAACATTTCAGGGCTGAACCGAATTTGAACTAGGTCAGACTGATAGATTCAATGAAAGAAAATAACTGAAAGATACTTATATTAAATGCAGTGAATACAAGCAAAAGTAGCTACGGATATTCTGAAAGAATGTTAAGTATGTACAAATGTGATTAATAATTTAAACTTTAAACAATCCAATATTAATGTTTCTAATACTTTTGGTATGCAACTCATCTTAGACTTTTCAAAGTCTATTTTTCAAGATTTTGCAAGTCGTCAATCACTGTCCAACGTACTTAATACCTTTCTTTATTTTAGTCCGGGATCTCGCACAAGAACTGACTAAGGGTGTTATTGTGACGAATCGAGTGCAAAGTGGTGTTTTACACTAATTGCAAGTGTGCGCGACTGCATTGGTGGATGTATTGTATATGGTTTTTCTTGAAAATGCTGTGTATAAAAGGATGGGGAGTGCTTGTCTTGGGACTGGAACTGTCGGGGTATCTGCAGTTTTTAGGTATTAGGGGGTGAGAATACAGGACTATAGTAAGCAGGAGCTTGTAACATTTGAAACATCATTGTCCCAAAACCGTTTACACTTCATGAGATCATCATGAGATCATCAGTATGACAAACATATTCCGATAACACACCGATACTTTGTACTGTCGTCGAATCAACGGAGACGGTTTGGTAGTTTAGTAAATACTTTATTTGTTGAGACAAAGTTTGATACAACTGTTATATCAACGTTACAACCGGTAGAAAGACGGTGAACTTCTAACCTCGAGACCTGCGGAGAGTCCCATTTTATAGTGGGATTTCAAGGGAAAAATGAGGGTAGGGGTATCCTGTGGGATGGATTTGGTGATGCAACATTTGGGAAGGATTCGAAAACATAAATATATGTAACAGGGACAACAGGTCACGTACAGGCCCGGAAAATGGAAAAGGGTTGGATACATAAATATTGGGAAGACCCATACGAAAAGGGCCAGCTGCCAGTCAGAGATATGATTGGGAAAGGAAAATGGTAAAGGTCTGAAAACATAAATAGTGACCACGTCTGTTTGTCTTGGGACCGCAGATTGGATCACTATCAAGAGGGAGACAGTACGATAGTACCCCGATGACACGTCGATACTTTGTACCCCGATGACACGCCGATACCTTGTACCTAGCTGATACCCCGATGCTTGTACCCCCCAAAGTTGACGAAACCGAAGATATAAAAACGAATCAGTAAGCCTCAATAAAGGAGAATATTGTCGACCGTTAAAGTGTGCACGTCTTTTCATTTACCTTCTTACTAACGAGTATCTACGGATACCGTTTGTCAGGGATTCATCAAGTTTAGTTACGTTTTTCCCGTAACAAGCTTAAGCAGTCTGCGCGTGGGAATTGCTGATAATTAAGTTTGCTACAGATAATTATAAAATATGAAAGTTCTCATTCAACATTCTTATATGAAATATGATGTTGTAATATTACTTTGAAATTTATTAATTTATTGCCAAGAGAAAATTTAACTTACCTAACGTTCACAATTATTGTAGTATAGTATTTCAATCAAATAATAATTTCACGAAATTTCAAATTTATTTAACCAGTCATTATAATTATGTAGCGAGAAATTTCTTTTTTTTGGAAATAAAGTATCTTGGAAATAAAATATATTAAGATTTTTCTATTAAAATTAATAATCATTTATAAACTAATCTAGTAAAGATTTAAATTTTATACTGTAACATTTATTTACTGGAAAATTTAAATTGTAATTAAGAAATTAGTATTGTTTAAACTAATATTGCAATAATTCTAAGCTTTTCGCATTTTGATTGAACATTTTTATACTTTATTATATTTTCTCATTTTTTATAGAAAATTACATTTTGCTTATGAATTGTTAAACTGAATTGATAATGATTAGATTAATTAATAATTAAAAATGTTCGGGAATAAGCTATATATGTGTAAATTGGTTCTCTTCAGGTTCAATATACGTTACAATCCCTATTTATAAACCCGTTGTTACATTAATTCTTAACGGAAATTAAATTATTGCTATGTATAAAAAGTTTTATAGACGGTTATATACAAAAGTTTGGATCCAGCACCCTAGATATAAGAAGCAGGAATTCCATTATTAATACGAAGCATGATTTAGAAACAAAATAATATAATTTTTGGCTGTGTTTCCGAATGGCCCCACCAAAATTGAGAATTCAGGTTCGGTATATAACCTAAATTGACTACAAGA